CAGCCACTCCGCTAATTACAGTTAGTTACTTTAAATTTGATTCAAGACTTGAACCATGAATGACAATACGTTTGGAAAATATACGCATGAACAAACCACCTCTAGGATCAAACGTTTGCTGTCAAAAGCTATATACATGTGCTGCAACTACAGTTAATGTCAACAGTGATACAACTGAATAAAATATGCCATCAACCACGCATCAAAAGCTATGTACTTGTGTATAAACTACATTTGCAATGCTACACTTGCTGTCAAACGTTACTTAGTTTTCTTCAATAACACGAACAATGCACTGTTTAGAAGCAATTCTTCACTTGTCAACGTTCAAACTTTTGTCGTGTTTGCAGTAATTAATCAAAGTATCACATGCCTATCATAATTGTTATACATTATCTAGTAAACCAAGAAAAAGTTCACTACTCAGGTTTCACATATTATATAATATTCCTTATCTTGTATTTTTGTCATCATGTTTTTATTTCGTAATCTACTGGAGTGGCTCACTGGAAGACTATATTGTCATTTCGCCCCTCCATCACTTCTGTTTATTTAGTTTCATTTGTTTTCATTTAATTAGCATTGTCTATTAACTTGCTAATATGTTAATTACCTCCAGAATTGTAATTCGTAAGTGTAAATAAAGTAAATTGTATTGAATTGAATTGAATTGAATTGAATTGGAGGTAGAGAGTATGAACACAGCCTGGTTGCATGCCTACCAGTAATGGGCCAGAGCCTGAAACATCCTCAAACAGTGAGTCATCGTCCAGGGGAGATACCCCGAGCTCTGGTGTCTGAAAAACCGCTGTCTCTCCCACCGGCACATCCTCAGTCACTGCAACACAACAGCGTACACTATACACTAGCAGACATCAGGGTCACCTTCACAACCACACACGTAGTACACGCATGCAACATTGGTTGTCTGACATCAGAGACCAGTAGCTAAAATAGGGACAGCAAGTCGTCACGAATTTCCATCATATATTTGTGTTTACTTTGTAAGTCATGCGTCAACAATAGCAGGGTTTCTTATACATAAGAGGCACAGTCGCGCACCGCCGTTGCCAAATTTAACATCGCAGTTGTGAAAATGTTCCTGTATTTACTGATAAGTATATCCTGTATCTATATACCTATAAGTATATCAATCCTGTATTTGAATCCATCATGCGCGTTTTTTCCCCAAACTGGCCATTACGTTCTATATCTAATTTTCCCTCAGAAGAAACCCTGAATAGACTTGAATTAAATTGCAACAATAACTGTTGACTTCAGTAAAGACTATAAATTCGCAGACATAGCGATCGAGCGATGGAAACGCAAACAGTTGCACTCACGACTGAGAGAGAAGAGAGAGCGTTTGCTGAAGTCGGCTGCCTCTTCGCAGCTTCTCTCGCTCGCGTAACCCGGCGAGCGCGGACTCCCCGGCCCATGCTCAAAGCTTCCAGAGCCCCTCGTTCTAACAGACGAGGACACGCTTGAAACACTGCCAGCCTCACTCCTGTCAGTCTCCGACGTGCCTGCAAGAAAAGCTACGATCATTACACTGGCACACATTGAGGGTCTGTTCATGTGTAAAGAAAGAACATTGCAGGTTCAGTAATACTACTGGCCGTATAGACATTGAAAATTATCGAATATTACATGTCACAACTATATTCTATGAGATCAAAGGTTCATATACACGTGATAGTATTAACTGTCAAAACGTACTAATGACTCCATACTCACATATTATGGTCCTATTCTAGATGAACTACAAATCTTGTCATCGATATAATTGCCAAATCGAATATATTTTTCATCATAAAGCTCAGATAATTTCAATTTCAATCAGTTATTGTTCACTCCTTGGCAAACTGTTACACCATCCTTTCAATAAAGTGATAAAAATGGTAGGTCAGCACTGAAACAAAAAAGTTTTTCACTCTGTCCATTAGGCCATGTCCTCAGAAAATGTCTGATATCTGACCTTTACCCCACTGCCCTTTGACCTCTGACCTCCAATTTCGCACTGGTGATGGGTTTCCTGCCCATCACACTATACACCGAATATTAAGAGCATAGGTCGAGCCGTTCAGATTTGTGCCGCAATTCCGTATTTCCTCCTATACCTATATATAGTTAAGGGGGAAATATTCCCCCTCCGTTTACACATCTTGACCTTTGACCCTTGACCCCCAAATTGGTCATCCCGAGTCCTTTTCACGATCCCCCCCAACGTCCCAAATATCCTGACCGTACGTCGAGCGGTTAAGATTTGTGCCCAACTGTTGACGAACGGAGAGATACACGGACGGACGGACGGACGCACGCTCATGCGATTCTACAAGCTGCATCCGACTTCGTCAGATGAGCTAAAAAGTGAACAGAATTACTTACATTTCGTGAAAAAGTGGGAATATTTGTTTTTACTTTTATTATTTACGGTGACGTAATCCCTTTAATTATATCCATAACACGCTCTTAACATGCTGGACTGATATAGGATGACTCACTGTGGCTCCACGGGACCCTGCATGGTCTTTTTGCAAGTGCACAAGTGAATCGTCACTGGATCTTTTCGATGGCAATCTAAAGCTAGGCTCTGCTCTCGCTGGTGCTATTATTCTCTCCACCTGTCTCCTTGCACCTGTAGAAATCATATTAGGTTAAATAGCATTTAGGTATAAATATAATTGCACCTTTGTGATTAGCCCTCGGTCTGTAACCTGCAAAATATATTGGGAAATGCGCAACTTTTTCAGGGTGGCAGCACGGTCGCGGGTGTCAATGGGGGCCGTTCAAATTTCGTAGCGTTGATGTATAATTAATTATAAAAATTAAATTAGGTATCTGGTAACAAGTACGTGTGGGTATAGACAATTTGTTATACAGTAAGTACAGTTGTATGCAGTAAAATCCTAGAGTCTACTATCCCTTTAACACATTTATTTTCCTGAATTATACATGTCTTCCCAATAATATATGTAGCATTTGTTTTGCGACAATCCTATGATAAATTGTGAAACAAATAACAGAGTGAACACGCACGAAAACAAGTTAACACCGTGACATTTCATTAAAACCATATTTTGCAATCGTAAATTTTCACGAAAAAAAGACAAACCTGTTTAGACATCTTCAAGGATCCGCCACTGGTCGTTATGGTAACCAGTTTGTTGCCGACCAACCATGTCATGTTCTGACCGCCATCGAGCAAGAATTGCGCTACGGGGGACCGCTGTGGCTGGGAGGAGTACAGGGCAAACGTGTATCGAGCCATCATGTCTAAACAGGTCTCCGTAAGCTCCATGTGAAAGTTGGACATGGCTTCATCTACGATCGGTTTCTGCTGCTCCCTGTACGATAGTGCGCGTGAAAACTTACAGTTATTAAAGGTTCAGTCCAAGCGAGCGAATTAGCCGATATTTGTTACTTGAATAACTAACTATACAGAGGGTTAATTATAGGATGGATCAGGATCAGTTCAGTGGTTAGTATTTAAGTTGCCTGCTATGGCAGGTTAACTGTCCTATCGTCCTCAGTGAAATGACCATGCCCCCAGATATCATTGATCGTATTATCAAGCCAACTCAGTTTCTATGCAAGATGCCTATTTAGTGGCACTTTATCACCAAGCATTGTTATTAGAACACCCTATCGCAATGCTGACTGGCTAGAGCTGTGTGTTAATTATGTAACATGTCAACTTAGTGGCACTTGTTAACCAAGCATTGTTATTAGAACACCCTATCACAATGCTGACTGGCTACAGCTGTGTGCGAGGGCATTAGCTCTGTTAGGTCACCTGATGGGAGTTGGACTGATGGCCTTCGCATCCTTAGCATCAGAGATGAAGCTGCCACTGCGAGGTCGCCTGGTGACCTCCTCCGCGTGATCGCTGTACTTCTCATACTTAGCCTGCTCCTCAAAGGGCAGCAGTACGTTCGCCTTCAGACCCTTGGTGATAAACCTGTGATGGAGATTAGCAGGTGTTTACATACATATATATCTCTCTCTATATAT